ACTGTTGCCTCACAGCAAGAAGGCTGATTCAAGTCCCGGCTGGGTCAGTTGGCATTTCTGTGTGGAGTTTGCATGTTCTCCCCATCTTTGCTTGGGTTTCTTACTGGTGCTCTGGTTTCCCCCACAGTCCAAAAACATGCGGTATGGTGAATTTAATAATCTAAATTGGCTGTATGTGTGTAAATGACTGTGTTTCCCAGTACTGAGTTGCTGCCGGAAAGGCATCTACTGTATAAAACATGCTGGATAAGTTGATGTTCATTCCCCTGTGGCAAAACCCTGATGAATAAAGAAACAAATGAATGAATGAATATTTCTTTTTAAACAGTGTTAAATTTAACATTTCGTCACAATGTAAAAAAAAAAAATGCTTCCAAATCATCACAGTGTTGTACTAATAAGTCAATCATTTTTTTGTTTCTTTCTGGTCTTTCCTGCTGTCAACGGAGCAGTCCGGTGGAATGATAAAGAAATATTTTAGATCAATTGATCCCTCTCTTTATATCCCTTAATAATGACTGTATTCTTTAATGACATCAGACATGAGTGGCAAATTTGGATTTCACCAGTGGTGGAAAGAGTACTGAAAAAACATAATTAAGTAAAAGTCTCTTACCAAAAAATGTAGTGCAAGTAGAGTAAAAGTATCTGTTGTAAATATTACTCAAAGTATTAGTAAAAAATAGACCTTTCAAAAGTACTCAAGAGTAATGAGTAGTGAGCATTACACTGTTAAAAGCTGATGTGTTTCCATCTAATTTATTTCTGTGTGTAAACGTAACATTCTGTAGTGGATCTTGTTATTGCCCAGCAGGCACACAACGCCATATGACGTTATTATGTTAGATTTAGGTTGTGATGTCAGGTGATAAAAATTTAATGTCTGGCCAATGTCTAAGAACAACGTTACTTTGATGTCAATAATGACGTGAAATGATGTTGGTATTTGGTTGATTTTAGGTTGTGTTAGAAAGTAACCGAAATCCAACATCTTAAGCCCTGCTCACACTGTGAGATTTCAGTCACAATTTTGTCATCTGTGACAAATTTGGGAAATCCTAAAAGATTCCTGAAATCCTAGACTAAAATCAGTGATCTTTGATCATTGGTCTGACATGTTCATTCATTTCAGACATTTTTTGCACTATGACAACAGCTGCCATAAGTGTCAATCCAAAAACCAATTGGAGCTCTGAATTTGATTATGCAATCCATGCAAAATTTCAAATGACCGCAGAGAAAGGTCAAATAATTTTTTTTCTTCCTGGTTTTATTATTGAGACACGCTATGTGCAAAATTGCTGCAACAGATTGTTTCTGTTTGCTGTGGGGAATCATTTCAGAATGCAGGATAGTGAAAGTGTCATGCGTGGATGACGTCAAACTCCAGGGGTGTTATCTGTCATATTTGGCTTCAATATCCTTCAGTCTGACTTTATGACAGCTGAGATCTAACAGTGTGACACGGGAGGTATGTTCATGCAGTCTAACATTCTACAATCGTTCAGGATTATAAAAAAAAAAATCGCAAGGGCATATTGACATCAAATACTGGCATTTATTTTTCAGGTATGGCAACCAAAATGCCACATCTGATAGACATCATAGTGGTAACGTCCACATAACATCAAGATGTTACATCACGGATCACCAAACTTGTTCGTGGAGGGCCGGTGTCCTGCAAATTTTAGTTCTAACGCTAATCAAACACACCTGAACAAGCTAATCAAGGTCTTACTAGCTAGCCAACAACATCCAGGCAGGTGTGTTGAGGCAAGTTGGAGCTAAACCCTGCAGGGACACCAGCCCTCCAGGACCAAGATTGGTGAACCCTATGTTACATCATTAGACATTGATTTTTAGTTCATTTTAGTTTGGATGCTGGACATTGACATCGGCCTGATGTCCCAGTTCTGATGTCGACCTGATGTTCATTTTAAAACAAAATGCAACGTCTCCTTGACATTGGAGTACGGTTCCACGTTAATCTGACGTCATGTTGACATCTTGTGCCTGCTGAGTGTTTAAGGCTGTTTCGTTCATCATACAGTAAACATCTTATCATTGACATGCATCTAATCAGTCTCTGGGTCAATGTGTATAAAGATTTTGGACATCTTCTTGGAAGCTTTTAATGCTTCCAAACAGTTTGCTGAAATTGTAAATCGCCCTTGTCTTGAGGTAGTTCATTATGATGCCATTTATCTTCTATGTGCGATTTGATTGGACAAGAATCACAGGACTAAAGAAAAATAAAGGAGAATGCTGTTGTATTTGCACTGACTGTATTTTGCACTGTCTGTATTTTGCACTGTCATTTTATTTGCACTGTCTGTATTTTGCAATGTCTGGAGCCAGCACCTAATCTTTTAACTCATCATAGCACACGTGCTGCTGATGATGTGACAATAAAAGTTATTTGATTTGATCATGCATATTAATGAAGTTGCACCTAATTCACAATAGAGGGTGCTGATTGGTTCGAACCAAGTCCTTCCTATGAATTAATGCTAAAGACTCAAAGACGTCATGTTGCAGTCTCCATCACTCTCATCACCGTGATGCAGCTTCAAAATTTCTTTTCAAACTGAAAGTACAAATTTGCTCGAAATAACGCTAAAACGACCAATTTTCACTTTTTTGTCTATGTGTCCTGATAATGTTTTTTAGCAATGTGGGACACATAAATGACTGTCAACATCTCAAAAAATGTGTTTTGGAGTTTTGTGAACCTTTAAGTTATCTTATTTTGTGTTCAAAAGAAGAAAGATATTCAACTATTCCTTTAATAGTGTGGCATATGACTAGGCCCACACGGAATCTGCGCGCACAGAATCTTGCAGATTTCTGCAGATTTTTAGCCCATCATTAATTCTGTTTATTTACTTGAGTAAATGTGTGTGAATCTAAATTTATTTAGTTTTTTTTACTAATTACAGTAATATTATTGACATATGAAAATGTTTATTTGTTTATGTACAATGCAGTTTGTACAGTAATATTTTCTGTCTTTTAGTAGAGATATTATATGAGACACTTGCTTTGTTTACAAAATAAAGTGAATCTAATTAGATTTGCAATTTAATCACGTTAAAAAGATATTACTTTTAATTTCACTAATTAAGGTTTTAGTTATGATACTCCCAAAATAATTCCACAGAAATCCACAGATTTTTACCAAAATTCTCTGCAGAAATAGCAAAAAATGTCCGCAGATTTCGTCTGGCCCTGCTTATGACCAGCTTTTGTACATATAGACATACACTGAAATGTGTGTATTGATGGTGGTGCAGAGTGTAAGACTGATGGGAAAACGCAAAATCTACCTCGAGCTTTATAATAAGAATCCCTGAACGTCCGATGATGAATAGTTTCACGCTACACCTCACAATAGGACATTCTCTCCTGTATGTCACTGCTTGCTGAGGAGAATCTGCTGACGGTGGAATTTGCCAAGTGTGGCTGGCCATTACTGAAGCTTATTCTCAAAAACATCCTTCCAAATGCGAACTAAAACAAAGGATTTTGCCGGACTGATGAGGTGTGTTTTCCTGAATACATGTTTTCTGATTAATGAGGCTTGTTGCAGTTTTTTCCCTATTGTTTCCATAGAGAGCCACTTTATTTGTGCCACTATGATAGTTTCTGATGATGCTAGCAAGAGAAAAAAACAAGCTTCTTTTTTAAACTATTACAAGTCGCTTTTTTTTTTAGATCTGTTGCCTGTTCAGGCATTCGTTTTATCAATTCCGTTCCACAAAGCATATTAACAGCCACCAAGTTACCTTCATACATTTTAATGTAAACCTGGCTATTAATCACAGTTCCGTGTAAAAGGTCACACAGTTGCATATCCATAATGGCAGATGAGGAGCTCATAAGGGATTCGGTTAATATGTAGGAAATTACTCTTTTCCGATATTCCGACTTGGAGGAGTAAATGAAGGACAATGTATAGGATGAAATGACATGCCAAGGAAAAGTAGGCCGGCATGACAGATCTCCTCAGCACTTAAAGTACCTGGTATCAGGAGACAGACGGATGCTTCTCCTTCCTGCTGACTGCAGGAGAATGACACTAATGATCTCTATCTATCAAATGTGCACTGGTGGGAATGGGAAATTGTCAATGTGTGTGAGTTTGAGGGAAGGCTATGTATTAGGCTGCATTAATGGCTTTCATACGTCCTTAAGGTACTGTATGAAACCTGCAGTGTGAACACACGTCTGTTCTCCAGCTTGATGCTTTAGAAGGCTCTTCTTCGAAAGCGCTCACTTTAGAAAGGTAGGGATGTACCATTTCTGTATAACATACACAATGATTACTTCACGACCCTCTGAACTTTAACACAAGTGACTGTAATTGTACACATAAATATGATACATGACTTCATGAAACAAGCATGCATGGTGTTTTATTGATGTGAGTCATGATGAAAATGTAATTAAGGTCTGAGGTTGTGCAGGAGGTCTGAAAGTATATTAATCACAGTCTAGGAAATGAGGTTAAACTCATGGTTTCCTCAGGCTTGGAAAACATAAATAGCAGTTAAATATAAATTGCCTAAAATATAATAAATCCTCTTTAAGTCATTAGTCAAAGTTAGTTTTTTTATATTTTTGTTATTTATTATCCATAATCAGAAGTAACTGATATGAATAAAAAAAAGGGATGCAATTTGTGTTAAGAGTTTTAGGCAGATTGAGGACAAGTGAAACTGTGCAGTTGTCAGCAACTTCCTACTGACCTCTCTAAAAAATATTTTCTTTGGTGGTGTACTCAGAGTAGCGTATGTACCTTAAAATAGAATACATAAATGTAATATTAATAATAATATATATAATTTATAAATAAAAATATATATAAAAACATTTTTTACTACTCCAAAACAGGTTTGACTATTTAGTAAAGGGAAAATTGGCAACAGCTGCAGCTAGCAGGTATCCTGCTTTCTGATTGGTCAAAGGTGAAGACTAAAGTCTATAAGAGACTTCCACTGAGGAATGAGCTGAAAGCTGAAGTGAGGGCATCATAAAAGAAGCTGCTGCTCACTTGGTTTTTGTGGGTGTCTTAACAATGGGTTCTGGATTCTGTTCAATGTAAGCATTTGTCTGTCTGCAGCGGACTTGAATTGTACATTGGTCAACACAATGTTTGAAACTTTGTTTGCTTTCAGATTTCTTTTTGCCTTGTTTCCTGCTTATGTAACCTGTTGGGGGAATTATGAAGGTAAGACCAACACACTGCTATTGTTTCTCCTGAACATTGCTACCTTATACTGTATGTGTCTATTGTTTTTACAGGAAGCATGCCAGATGGTGATGTTCAAAGATTTTTAACACCTACCTTACCAGTGATTGGTTCTGAGGTGAAACAAAAGGCAATTTGGAATGAACTTTCCTATGGTTCTGTTCGTCAGCCATATTATCGAGGCACCCATGAAAGTTATGATGCCAAAGGAAGTTTGTTTGTGGGCTCAAATGCTAAATCATACACAAAAGACTGTCAGGCTCCAGCTAAAAGTGGCAATCGAGAAAATATGATGAATTTTAATTCTAATTCACTATCAAAATATGGTGGCTCAAGTTGTGGTCAACCCTCTACTCAATATGAGTCTCGTACAGATACTAATTCCCTCAAAAATGTCCAGGTTGGTAGCCGACTTGCTTCAGCCTTGTCTCAAAGTGGGCCCACATTGAGAAAAACCTTGAAAGTACCTGAATTGAGTAGTTTAAAAATCTCTAGAGGTGAATCTAGTTATGGGGCAGGTCAGAGTATTAACAATGTCCAGATAGCCAGTAACAGTTTTGGCCCACTGCTGAAAGGATCGCCTGTGCAATCAAATATAAATCCAGGAAAACTCTCTCAGGGTGGACCTTCAGTTGTTAGTTCGGGACCAGTCTTTGTAGTTCAAGATAAAGAGAGTGCCCAAGGTCAAAATGGCTTTCCAGATTATGGAAAACCGCCTGTTCATAGACTCATTAAACCCTACAAGGGCAGTCAGACCTCTAGAGATGGTAGCTTGTCTGCTAGCAGTCTGGGAAAGGCATGGAAAAAGACACTTCAATACTCCAAGAGTGGAACTCAATACAATCTCGACACAGAGTTAAGAAAACCTTCCAAAAATGATTGCAAAGACAATCCTGCTGAGTCAATTGCCAGCTCTGGTGAGGTTCTTCGAAAGACCCAAGAAAGTGCACTGAGAAACATGTTGCCGCCTCGTTATGAAGCAACTATTCCCAAATTTCAGCAAGTTCACAACAGTCGTGGACAATCAAATCAAATGTTTAAACCCATGTACCCCCCTCAAAATGGGGCTCAACAGAATGTTGGTAGAAAGTCCACAACTGCCAGTTCTGGGTTGATCCTGGTTCAGCAGGCTCCTACAGATGCTCTGAGTGGGAAAGAATCCAATAATCGTAATGTGTATCCTAGTTTTTCAGAGCGTGAAGTAGCATTTGCCTCTGGCCAGACTTCTCATCAATACCAACCTTTCAAAGTGACCCAGAATTCCAGAAATGCCCAGCCAGCCACTGACTCTTATGGTAGCTCTTCTAAGACTGGATATCAGACCTTCTCTTCTTTAAAGGGAACTTCATACAAACCAAGTTCAGGCTCCTCAAAGTCCTCTACAAGTGTGTTCAGTGCCACCAACCCCAATTTTGCTGAACCTAATGAGATTAACACGGTCCATGTAAGGCCTAACAAACCATTTGCAAGCAGCTTTGGTCAAGTACAGAGCCAAAGGGCTTCTGGTGACATTAGCAGAGGTGCTTATCAAAGTTCCTTACCTTCCAGTTACATGGGTCTAATGCCTAGTAAGGAGGTACAAATATCTGCTAGTTCCTCAGCTCAATTTTATGGTTCTAGAAACCAGAACCAACTTGTTGAAACTCAAGAAGACACAGATGATATCAGATGCATTACAACCATTCCAAGTGAATTTGGCCAAGGTGCCATTCGAAGACTTTCTCCTAAGCTTTCCAGCAAATACAGACGAGGTTTGCTTCAAAGTGCACCATCATTACAAGATCATTGTATGTTTGAAATGTGATTGTTATAACATACTCTTCTTTCTTCCTGCCACAGTTAAACAAAATGGACAAGAAAGACTGGATTTTGTAGCCCCAAAATGTTATTCTAGTCTTGGTCAAAAGGGCTCAGTCAATTTCCAGGAAGTGAACCGGTCTGTCTAAAAGCACTTCAACGTCTGCCATAATGTAAGTACAGTTGCTTTACCTAGAGTTTAAACTTGTATATTTGGATGAGCAGGAAGTAATTTGCCTTCTGCAAGCAATATTCAACTCCAATTGTTGAATGGTTATTCATTTAGAGCAAAGATGCCCAAACTCTGGCCTGTGGGCCGAATTTGGTCTATGTAAACCTTTGATTTAGCCCCCATGATGATGAATGCAGTTGTACTATTTGGTAATTTGATTTAGCCCCCCTTCTGCTATTACATCTAAATCTAGCAGCAGCGTTTTGGACCAGCTGAAGGCGAGAAACCTGGGATTTTGACATGCCCCAGTAAAGTGCATTGCAGTAGTCTAATCGTGATGCACTAGCGTGGACAGCCATCTCTAGAGTGGTGGGATTTAAAAAGTGTTTAACTTTAGAGGGCAGACGTAGTTGATTTAAAAAAAAAAAAAAAAAAAAAAAAAAAAAACTGGAGCCAGTAACTGAGCTAATCTGTTTGTCGAGTTTTAATTACTCATCAAAGATGAAACCCAGCTTTTTTCAATTTTAGTTTAATGTTACTCGTTTGTTTGACTTGTTAAAAGCTAACTGAAATTAAAAAGCTTTGCTTAAATGTGCATATTTTCACTGACAATGCAAAGACTTTAGTGATCAAATCAAAGATTTTACTTGGCTAGAGTATTTAGCAAACTCCACTGTGGTAACATTGTGACTTCTTTGTATTTATTGCAGTAAGTTATCATTTAACTTGTAATGGTAATGTTTATATATATAACTTTTTTTTTTTTTTTTTTTTTAAGCCCTTCATACCAAAAACTTTGGGCACCTTAGATTTGGAGAATTCAAATAATTGTTGTCTGTTCATATGTGTGAATAAGGATTTTAGATAGATAGATAGATAGATAGATAGATAGATAGATATTATTTATTTTTTCCTTAGTGTAAAATTGTTTAATAACAATGAACAACTGAGAGCTGCACTGTCGTTGCCACTTGCTACATTACATACATAAATGTCACTATTTTGAACAGTTCAGTATTAATGTTTGATAATATACAGTAGTCAACAGTTGAAGTCATCTGAAAATCTGGGATTCAGTGTATAATGTACATTTTAAGAATTCAAATTGCTACATTTTCCATGTACGAATCAGCGTTTAAAGCTTAAATACTCTAGTTTGTGGATTTGCTTTTTTGATCATTTTAGTATGTCACTGGTTTCTTTTCAACTTGCAGCCTTGCCTGGGTGTGCATTGGGGAGGCATTCAGTCATCAGGCTCAGGTCTCTGCAAGGACTAGGATGCTGTGACTGATCCAGTGCTGAGCATTTCAGTGATTTGTTGAAACCGTGGACACAGGGGATGGTCCTGGCAATGTATGATTCTTCTATGTAAAACCCTTTAATAAAACATCAAATGTTTCAAAACAAACCTCCTTTTTCTTCCCCCCATACTTTGTTCACCACAGGTCATCACAGGCTGTGATGTAGCTTTATTTGTATTTGTAGCACATCCGCATTTCAAATAAATGCGCTTTTATACGATTTGACATGTTTTTAAAGGTTGAAAAATTTAGAAAAAAAAGTGAAGTATACAGATTCAAACATTTGAATGTGCTGTAAAAATGAACAATTGCTTTATTTTTATGTTTTAAAGCTGATTTGGAAATTTTGCATATGAATGTTTGGGTAATTGTTTTTTTCCAAAATGTATTAGATTGATTCCTCAGATTTAATTATCCATCTGTCTATCTGAAGAAGATAATGCATGGTGTAGACCTATTATAGAACAAATCAACTGTTGCATTTTTTTAAACACAATTTGGGTTAAGTTGGGTTTATTTTCGCACTTTCTGACTTGTAATATTTCAGAAATGTATTTGCTAATTCTAAACCGTGATTAGCAGTCATGACTATCACAGTACAACGTCGCTCTATGTACAGTATCATACTTGCATGTGATTTCAGGCCTAATACTCAAAGTACCTTGTTAATATAGGGAGCGTGTCAAGTTATCCCTGAATGTGTGCGCTCTAAACCAACTTGTCTCTGTTGTTACACTAGTGTTAATAGTAATGGTATGCTTAGAACTCGGACGTTGCAATGCATGTAAATCATTTGACCTTCAAAGTACATGCAATGTTGCAAAAACGGCCGTTTGCGTGTTTTAAAACGTTCGCATTGCAAACAAGCAAGTAATTGTATTTATACCTTTTTAATTAAAGGTATTTTATATTTCTATATTAACTTTATAATTCATAACGAAATACATTTTTTTTTTTTGCTGAAACCGATTGATGGTATTGTGGAACACTGACGCCATCTGTTGGTTTCAAAGCTTTATGCTTTTGCAGTCCACATGAAAATATAGGTAAATGAACAAACGTATTATATTACATATTTGTATTAACGTTAATTTAGCCCTACCTTGGTTACAGACGTTTTCAGATGTGAATAGCACTGAATGAAAACAAAATGGTTTTAGTCTTGGCAAATTACGTCACCAGTATCCATATCCTGGTGTACCTGTTAAATCAGGTAGCTTACTAGATATACCTGTGGGTTCAGACACAGGGACGACGCGCATTCAGGGCAGTCGGCTTGCTTTCGGTTTAATTTAGTTTTGCCAAAGTTTAAGGACAGCTGGTAAAAAAAAAATCAGCAGGGTACAGTCGTGGAGCAAGGTTAAAACCAGGTCGAACAACCTTTTTGAGCTGTGCGGACTTCCGGAAGAGATTCGTCAGACAGACCGCGACATTTCCCCCATATGGTGTGAGTAAAGTCAACAACAACAAAGTTTGTTCTCTTTTAATTAATATTGCTCCATGTCTTGCGGTTTTTGACGTTTTCCCGCTTTGGTAGATAGGCTAGTTACCAAAAGATGTTATTTGACTTTACTTCTAGAGAAAAGAACGGCATGTTTGTTTGGCGAATGAACTTTGAAGCTTTTGTGAAATTAAGTAATCACTGGCTTCTATTAAACAGATAATAAAGTGCGCTTATGTGATTTCCTCTATCCCATAATAACTTTTTCTATCTAACGATTAATAGTTAATTTGGAAATCTTAGTTTACTTTTTAAAGCTGCAGAAGTATTGAATGAAATTGTTTAATAATAAATATTTACCAGTATTTCCTTGTTCTTGCTCAAGTTGCATATGTGATTCACTTCTAAAATGTCAAATAAAGCTTTAGATATTTATGGTTAGGCTAGGTATTGTGGTAAAATGTATATAGTTTGAGGTTTTCGTCTCCCTTTGTCCTCTGGTTTTCAACAGAAGAAAAAATGATTGATTGTTAGGGCAATGGTACACTGTAAATAATTTTTCACTTGGACTGTTGTAAAAATCCATAGTCAGAAGTGGAGTTTGTGATGTACATGATGTCACAAGATTTAAAAAATGTTCATTTTACTGTAGAGTATTTCTAATGGATCACAATAATGTTAAATGTGCCAATCTTTTTAAGCTACTAAAGTCTTTCACTAAAATGTTTTACTGTGTTAGTGTATTTTTTTATAGTATTGGGGAAGACCTGAATAACATATAGCTGGGCCAGACAGAATCTGCGGACATTTGTTCCTATTTTTGCTGAGAACTTTGTAAAAAAAAAAAATCTGCTGATTAATGGGAAATGATTTTAGGAGTATCATATTTAAAAACTTAAAATTGATAAATAATAATAAATCTTTTACTTATTTAATATTTACATTGCAAATTCACTTAATTGGTATAAAAGCAAGTCTCTAATATAATAGATCTACTTAAAGGCTGAAAATATTACTTCATAAACTATTGTAAATAAATATATTATTACTATTATTATCACAATAATATCAGTGAAATTAATTTAAAAACTGAAATATAAATTAGTACACATTTAAACAAGTAAATACATAGACTCAATGATGAGCAAAAAAATCTGCTGATTTCTGCATGCACAGATTTCGTGTGGGCCTACATATTCCATATTTAATAGAAGTTGTTTTATTTCACATACACAACAGTTTCTAGGTGCTTATGTAATTGAGGTACATTTTTACTTTCATTATTTTATTAACATTGACAACAGCCAAGAAGGCAAACTCAAAACAATTCTTAAACTGGTTGGTTTACATCTCTAAGGGAATTTCACTGCAGTTTTGTTACTGTTATTGGCTGAAAGTGTAAGGTAAAACCTTCATACCTTCCCAGTTTTCCCCTATTATGTCTTTTTGTCTTTAACAGTCCCTGAGGGCTCCATTTAGCATTAGGTAACCAACAAAGCAGACTACAGAGGACGGTCTGGGTCGAGTGTTGTCCCTATGGAGAACAACCCGTCCTGGACCAGTGGTCCCATTGAGGAAGGGCCATACCAAGAGCGCTCTGTTGACCCTGTGGAGATTGAGATCCAAAGCTATGGAGTACGACACAAAGTTAACAAGGATGCCAATGGAAATACAACTGGGCCAGAGACTGTAAGCTTTCTCCCTGCTAAAGAGGAGCCCGCATCTGGGTCATGTATGTGTGGACCTTGTGCTTCTGTGGGTAGCTGCAGAAAACTTTTTTGTAGTGTATTGACTTGTGGACTGTACCGCATATGCCAGCGTTTGCCTTGCCTTGTTTCGAATGAAAGCACAGCGGTCACTGCGCAGACAGAGATCCAGCCAATCTCTTCACAGGTTCAGGAGGGCTTCTATCCTGACATCCGCATTGCGGGGGTCAAGGTTGACCCATCTGTGATTGAAGATGTCGATGGCTTTGATTCTGTTTCCCCTTCTACATTTGAAATGAATAGTTTAAATGTGAGTGGAATACTGGAAGATGATTTAGTCAATGGTAATAAGATGGAAGATGTGGATCAACTCATCACCCAGAAACTTATGGAGGTCTTCTCTGAGTTTGAGATCAACGAGTTGGCCAAGTGCACCACAGACTCCATGTTCCTGCGGCGGTCCCGGGAAATCAGTCAGCTGATCTCGGATATCGTGGAGGAGCACAAAATGGAGGAGAAGGAAGCCGAGTGCAGGCTTGTTCGAGAGATTATTCGCATAAGTACTCGGAAAAGTAGGAAGAGGCCACAAATCAAGCAGCCGGAATTGCAGCGGGACAGTGGCAATGACACCTGGAACAGCAAAGGCATCAGCCAAAAGAGCAGCTTCAATTCCATGAGTGGTCAAAGTGAGTGCAAATAACATTTCCATTTAATTTCCTCTCAGTCTGGTTTTAAAGTTTGTGAAAGTTTGTTTAAAAAAAAAAGCATGATCATTTGCTGGCCATATTTGAAAATGTTAAAACATATCTAATGTAAAATATGGCTAGTTGCATCCCAAATGACACTATGCGTCTTGCATTGATTATTGTTGTTCCAAATAGAACGTTTATGTTCTTTCTGACTGGGAATTCATTCAAACTGTTTTTCAGTTGACATTCAACTGTTCCCAAATTAGTTAAAGAAATGTTCATTAGTTAAAATCAAACTACCAAATAGTACAACTGCATTCATCATCAGGAGGTGGAATAACCATCTCCATAAATGAAATTTGCTGGCACAACTCAAAAAAATATTGAAATTCAACTTTAGTGCCCAAAACCTCTCCCTGTCCTGTTATGCGAGCAAAGCTGCAACTGCTGAGTGTATTTTGTTCAACATTCCACACTTTTTTTTCTGGTTGAATAATAGGGGTGTGAGCGTACACTGGTATCATGGTAGGGGATCAGCTATTATAATTAAAAGATTCATATCATGGGGCTGCACGGTGGCGCAGTGGGTAGCACGTTTACCTCACAGCAAGAAGGTTGCTGGTTCCAGCCTCGGCTGGGTCAGTTGGCATTTTCTGTGTGGAGTTTGCATGTTCTTCTTGTGTTGGCTTGGGTTTCCTTCAGCTGTTCCTATTTCACCCACAGTCCAAAGAAGTGGTATAGGTGAATTGGGTAGGCTAAAATGTCTGTAGTGTATGTGTGTGAATGAGTATAGATGTTTCCCAATGATGGGTTGAAGCATCTGCTGCGTAAAACGTGCTGGGTAAGTTGGTGGTTCATTCCGCTGTGGTGATCCCAGATTAATAAAGGGACTAAGCCAAAAAAATAAATAAATGAATGATTCATTCATATCACAATGCAAATGATCGAAAATGCACTTCGTCCTCAATTTTTTATTTACTTGAGGTTTTAATTTTATTAATAAAAACAGTCGGATATATGAACCAAACCTTTAATTGTTTTTGTTCTTGAAGCCTGCTTCATGGATGTATAAAACATCAAATAAAATAAAGATGATGGCAACTTCAGCATCGTGTTCCTCTGCTCAGTGCATGGGAGAGATGTTTTATTTACAATGTGTTGGGGGATATTGGATTTTACAGTTCCATCAATGTGAGTGGAAGAATGTCCCAGCAAACTCGAAAGCAGCGAAATGTGCCCAGAAGATGTAGGCTCTTAAAAATAGTTAGAGCATTTTTATTACTTGCACATGCATCTTGCCTTGCTCACCATTGTATACTACCCACGTCCCTTACCATAGTATGCTACTACAACAAGTGACATCAGAAAACTGTCAGTACATCATCATATATAACTGGAAATGTTCTGTTTCTAAAGCGATAATTCATTTCGACACTTCTATTGAGTAGGTACATCACTACTTTTTGTGTTTTGTCTTTACATTTTCAGGATGAAGTCACTACTTAAACTATTTATTCTACAAAATGTTGTTGACCAGTGCATAAGTATGCCATTTGGAAAACACGTACAGTTTGTATTATCAATAAAATTCTAATGTACAGTATCTGCCATGTTTTCACGGTGACGATGTCAGTTGTCACTTGTCACGCTATTCACGAATCCTCTCTTCAAGACTTGCATTGTAATATTTAGTTGAAATTCAATCATCTGCCTGCTTATTGCCTATTGTTTTATACTATGACTTCAGATATACTTTTTTAACTCCTTTTTTACTTCTGATATAGATTGGAGGTACAGTATGCCTAAATATTGGAAATATTTTTAAGAATTCCACATAAAGTGATGTTTTTACTTGACAGAAAGCCAACACTTTAGACAGGAAGAAAAATTTGCATGTGCAGTCCTACTAGTGTCGGTCCATCACAATTTGCTTATTTATTCATTTTCTTTTGGTTTAGTCATCACAGCAGAATGAACTGCCAACTATTCTGCCATATGTTTTACACAGCCGATGCCCTTCCAGCTGCAAGCCAATTCTAGAAAACAAGCATACACTCTCATTCACACACTATAGCCAATTTAGTTTATTCAGTTCACCTACACCGCATGCTTTTGGACTCTGGGGAAATTAGAGCACCCGGAGGAAACCCACATTAACACATGCAAACAGAAATGCCAACTGGCCCAGCCGGGACTCAAACCAGCAATCTTCTTGCTGTGAGTCAACAGGTCTAACCACTGAGCCATCGTGCCACTCACAATTAGCTATTTTTATTTTGTTCACACTGAAAATTCCAAAAGGTAATGTCTAATAGACATCTAAACATAGTTTTCTTGGCTGAAACGAGGCTAAATTCTTATAGATGTCTATTAGACTTTCACTGACAGCTCAAGTTTAGCCTTGTTTTAGCCAAGGTGTCTACGTTTAGAATAGATGTCTATTAAACAAAGTTGTTTGTTGGTAAAAGTGCACTTTAAATACTCTCAAGATACACTTATATAGCATGCTTAACTGTTGAGATGACGACTGATGAAATAACCCTATAAAGTTCATTCATTAGACGGCAGAGTCCATAGTGCATTTACTATAAAACACAACTTACCTCTCAGTACACTATTTGTTTCTATAGTAACTATATTCTTATGGTAGCTGCAGTCACTGCATTCATTTTGATTGGCATTTCACAGTTTCTCTCTATTTCTCTAATTTTTATCTTCTTTTATTATTAGAAAGTGCAACATTTTGCTGTATATTTATACACCCTCAACAATCCAAACCTGTGACAATCTTTTTTTTTTTAGTGAAACAAGAAAGGCTGGTTTTATGATATTAAAGTTGAATGATGTTAATTTCCAAGCTTCTAATCTGTGTCATGAGTTCTTGAGAAATAGTTTTTTTTCTATATTTGGATCCTGACTTAACCGGAAAATAACTCCTTGTCATTTGTTGAACATGGTGACATTCAAAAGTAAATAAACCTTTTCTATTTTTTTCTTAGACTTGCAGATTTCTATGGAGAGGTCTGATGACATAGAAGCCAGGAAATTTCGCAACAACAGTAACCAGTGTAAGTATCAACTATTGATTTACCAAAAAAAAAAAAAAATGCAAATGAATTTGGCTCTAGGAAAAATGTTTAGTATTTATTTTACATTTCAAGCATTATTATTATTATATATATATATATATATATATATATATATATATATATATATATATATATATATATATATATATATATATATATATATATATATATATATAAACAAATCCTTTTATAAAATAATTTATTATAATTATAAAAGCATTTATTTTATAAGAAATGTAGACTCATTTACATATTGAATTAATGAAAATGGACATTAAAGACGATGCTGCTCTTCTGAAGTACAAAAAATAAAAATAAAAAAAGCATTGTTTCCACAAAAATGTTTAAAAAATAGCAAAACTACGACTTGAATGTTCAAAAGCTATGTTTCATGATCAAATCGATATAGGATCGATTTGTTATACAGATCATGTGATTGAAGAATAAAATATTGATTGCTTCAATGTTTTAAAACAACAAAAATAAATTGGATTTTTAATTGTATTCACATTAGGGCTGCTAAATGTATCATTTTAGCATCGATATCGCAATGTGTGAATCCACCATTGTTACATCACAGGACGTGATTCAGGATTTTGACCAGGTACAAGAGTTCAGAACAGAGATTTTTAGAGTCATTTTACTTTGAAGTGAAACATTCATGAAGTGAAAGTTGATCAATTGCTTGTTTTCAAAGGGCACCTATGATGACAATCAACTTTTGTAAGTTGTTTGGACAGAACTGTGTGTAGGTAAAGTGTGTCCACAGTCATAATGGGGTGATAAACTATAAGTCTTTTTTTCTTTCCTGATGTTAAAATAGTATCCAAAGCCTGTGCACAAAGCAACTGGGACGAAAAAGATCAATTCAGCTCTCTGTGATCATCAGTCATCATCAAATTTGATTAAAAATGAAATTTGGAAGTTTTTAAAACATTGAATTACAGGGTCTTTATTTTATCACCACAGCTGCATTTCAGTACAATTATAAAATAAGATGCTTCGATCCCGGTTTGTGGACGTTAAATCAGGGTTATTTTGTACATTAACATAACTGATATCCATACAGCAGTGGTTAAGTGAGATCTGCCTTCATGTCTCACTGTTCTGTTTATCGAAGGCAGCCAGAGACACTTTGACAGGCATGTGGGAACGGAAAGAACTAGCATTAAAGGCACAGGCAAAAAAAAAAAAAAAAAAGCAGCTACATTGTGTTTAGAGCAGAAAATTCCAAAATTCTAAAAGGTCTAATCAATAATCTGATGGGTGTTTTGAGATGAAACTTTACGGACACATTCTGGAGACACAAAACACTTACCTTAAATCTTGAAAAAGGGGTTAAATAGCCCTTTAAGGCCTGTGACTGTGTAAACATTTTAAGCGAGTTTAAAGCATTATAGGCCACAAATAATTATTTCATTTGTAGATTTAACAAACAATAATTGTATTTAATAATTTATTCAATGAAGGCTATGCAGCTTTATTTATTATTTTTTATTTTCATTATTTTTCACTATGCTTGTAATTTGTTTATTATATTTTACGCAGATTCACTCCCCTACACAATCACCTAAATTAATAGAAAATTATCAATTGTTTCGAAAGAGAACTATCCAAAATTTTAAGTATCGCAATATAAATCGTAGAAATTCAAAATATTGCAATGTACAGTTGAAGTCAGAATTATTAAACACCCCTAAATTATTAGCCCCCGTTTATTTTTTTTACCCCAATTTCTGTTTAACGGAGAGAAGATTTCTTCAACACATTTCTTAACATAGTAGTTTTAATTACTCATTTCTAATAACTGATTTATTTTATCTTTGTCATGATGACAGTAAATAATATTTGACTAGAACTTTTTCAAGACACTTCTATACAGCTTAAAGTGACATATAAAAGCTTAACTCTGTTAATTAGGTTAACTAGGCAGGAAAGGGTAATTAGGCAAGATATTGTATAACGATGGTTTGTTTTGTGGACTATCAAAAAAATATAAAGCTTAAAGGGGCTAATAATTTTGACCTTAATGTTTTTAAAATAAATGCTTTTATTCTAGCCGAAAAAAATCAAATAAAGAAAAAATATTATCAGACATACTGTGAAAATTTCCTTGTTCATTTAAACATAATTTGGGAAATATTTCAAAAAGAAAAGAATTTCAAAGGGCGGCTAATAATACTGATTTCCACTATTTTTTCCCCAATATCTTGCAGCTAAAATTCAAATAGAATTTTTAAAGCATTTTAAAAGTATTTACAATATTCTCGATTAAAAGGAGCTCTTAAATAGAGAATAGCTCTTTTTAAAAACAATTAAAAAAAAAACTTTTAAACAAGAGTCTACATTTTAATAAGGGTGATTTATTTATCTTTTATTTATATTGACCTTATTCTCCGCCAATGAGCGGGCGCTGCCATTTGAATCTTTTTGGCTCGAGACTTCCGGTCTCATTCACTTCCATTCATTTTTAGACATTAAAAACTGCTCATTACGCTGCTTGATGTTGCAATTTGACATTTCCTTGTTATATTATTCTACTTGGTCTGTATAGTCATGCAAACATTTGTTTGTAGAGCAAGTAGTTTGACCGTTTTCTGCCGTTTATTATTCCTAGTCATTTCTCCCATAGGCGACTGAATCGGAAGTTCTAGGACAATCGCGAAAACAGGTGCACTTCCGCATTTTAGAATAAGGTCAATATAATGTATACAATTTTACATATATATATATATATATATATATATATATATATATATATATATGTATATATATATATATATATATATATATATATATATATATATATATATGTATATGTATATATATATATATATATATATATATGTATGTATATATGTGTATGTATGTATATATGTATATGTATGTATATATATGTATGTATATATATGTATGTATATATATATATATATATATATATATATATATATATATATATATATAAATAAACTAAATTAGATTTTATATTCTAAATTCATATATGTATATGTATGTATATATATGTATGTATATATATATATATATATATATATATATATATATATATATATATATATATATATAAACTAAATTAGATTTTATATTCTAAATTCAAATAATATAGTGTAAATTTAAATAAAATATAATTTGCAGGTGGCGAAACAAAACCCTTTTTATGCACAAAGTACAGTTTCTTATTTTTTTTGTTTTTGTGGTGAAATTTGACCTGGGCTTTCATAAGATTGGCCTAGAGTTTGTTTTGTATAATCTAAGAGAAGACCTTAACTTAACCTCAAATAAGCTGGCAGCCTGAGCTGGTTCTGTACATTAGCGTAGCAGTGCTGTTTGCCGCTCCCTGCATGTATTAAAGGCTGTTGAGAGGCTGCATGAGCTCCGGAAGAATGAGAGGGGTGTGTGGCGGGTTTCTCTCTCATGAGTTTGAGGGGCTTGTGATGTAACCAACCACATTGACACAAACAATGCTCTTTTGTCTGGAAGCCATCTGATCGGTTACTCTCCTCTGAATTTGAATGTCTCTCTTTTCCTCATCAGTGCTGATTTCTCCCTCCCTTTCTGTTTGCTTGATGTTGTTTTCATGCTCTGCGATGTTGGCAAGCAACAGTTGGATTTTATTGGTTTTGTCTTGATGCCATTATAGAAACATTTGCAGGAGAATAACAGCGTTTTGCATGTCGTTGGGAGAGCACACTTTTGTTATTTAAGCATTAACATACGTGAGGTATGACATGTTTTATGCACCATTAGTTTTCTTCCCTGTTTGCCAGACACTGTAATAATCACATAATCACAGTCACCTTCAAAAATATGGCCACAGGCTTTATGCTTATGTGCTTTTAAAACTAAGAAGCCATGTAAATGTGCTATTCACATTAGAAATGAGATGCAAATGAAGTGAGAAGAAATTTATTCACACGCTGGGGGTTTTCTGTCTGGTCAACATGAAATGTTGTGTGCGTAAGAAATAAACTTAAGTGGAGTAATTCTGTTTTTTTTTTTTTTAACTATGTTAATTAAATGAATACATTTTATAGGTACATTAAAGGTGCCAAGAATGAATATCTGCATATACAGTTAATTTAAAAACATTCACAATTATAAGCCCTCCTGTGACTTATTCATTTATTTATTTTTCTGTTTCAAATATTTCCCAATTGATGTTTAACAGAGCAAGAACATTTTCACAGTATTTCCTTTAATATTTTTTCTTCTAGAGAATTACTGATTTGTTTTATTTCAGCTAGAATAAAAGCAGTTTTAAGGTCAATATTATTAGCCCCCTTTTTACACTGTAAAAACTTAAACTAATTACTTAAGCAACTACATGAATTAATTAGCTTCCACTTAATCTATTACGGTTTTCATTAATAAATAAGTTGGAAATGCTTCATTCTTTTAGGTGTAAGAAGTTGAAGTTATTTATTTAAGTTGAAATGAGGCTTTATTTAAGTCAAATGAGGCTTTTTTCAGTGTGTAATTTTTCTTCTTTTCTTTTTTGTATTTTAAAGAGCCCATATTATACATGAAATAGGGTCATATGTTGGTTGTAAGGGTCTCCAACAACAGTCTAATATGCGTGCAAGGACAAAAAAGACTTTCATGGTCTTATAATCTGCATTTATTTTTACCTAATTATCCCAGCGACTCCTGTATGAATCGTCCAGTGATTCATTTGTTCCCAAACCCCTCCTTAGCGCGAAGCTAATCTGCGCTGATTGGACCGATGACAGTCTGTTGCGATTGGTCGACACTGACTGCCTTCACCGAGAGACAGAGTGAAATGCCCAGCAGCTAATCAACAAAATAGAATTAGTCACAGTGCGTACACGCTCGATAGTGTGAGGCGTAGAGCTTAGCTGCCAGTGGATGAATGCAAATACAGACGATGGACTTGAATATACAGACGACTAACTATTTTATTAAGCAAAAACTCCCAAGAACTGCCGAGATCTCCTAGTTTGTCACATTCTGCTCTTTTCACAGACACACACACACACACACACACACATATATTGCCCTTGTCCTCGCGCATGCGTTCACACACACACACACACACACACACACACACAACCCTCCACCAGACGACATCACGCACGCACACACACATATATTGCCCTCGTCCTCGCGCACGCGTTCACACACACACACACAACCCTCCACCAGACGACATCACGCACACACACACACACACACACATAACACTTCTCCGGACAACAACGCGCACGCACAAACACACCAACACAGACACACATTACCCTCCTCCGGACGACAACGCACGCACACACACACACACACACACACACATTACCCTCCTCCACGGGAGCGTAAACAAAGCGGCACGCATCGCGTTTTTAACGTGGCTTTGCACGCGATATGAGAATATAGCGAGTTAACCTGAAACGGTACACGCGGTTACAAATATCAAATCACAACTAAATACATTTGCAAGCTAGAGTAAACGTGGCAACAACTTTAATTGCACGTACTTACACTTGAGAAATGGAGGAAGAAACCGATCCATGTCCTAACCTTTCCATAGTCTTAACTGATGCTTCCTTTAACTAACGAAGTATTTTTTGTAGCATGTAGTTTCCAGAAGTTTCCAGTTGTTTCCAACTGTTTAAGGCAGGGCTTATGCTGAGGTTTCATCTTTGGGTAGAGACTCAATAATATCTATCTGCAGTGTGACCGGCATGTTTGTGTGTTTGTGTGTGTGTGTGTGTGTGCGTGTGTGTGGCTTATTCTGTGTTAGAGGGCGGGGCCGGAGGTTTTAAATCTCCCGGGTTTGCACGTGCGCATGAAAAACTTCGTTGTCACTAATGACTCGTTATCAAGATGACTCGTTTGAAGCACTATGATTCGACTCTTTTATAGATGAATCAACAGTTTTAAACACTGTACACTAACAGATTTAAGCCTTAGCTGGATATTTCACTTTACTTAGAGCTGTGTTACACACTACATGGAAGGGCATTTTCAAAAACCCAAAATATGGGCTCTTTAAAACAATTTTAGCCTCTTTTGTTGTTATCGGCTAATGGCTACTGAACAAATAACCCTTGTCCAATGATTTGCCTACCTAACATAATAACCTAGCAAAGTCTTTAAACTGCACTTTAAGCTGAATACTAACGTCTTAAAATATTTGCACTGTCATCGAAGCAAAAACAAGAGAAAATAGCTATTAGAAATTAGTTATTTATAACTTTTATGTTTTAAAAATGTGTCTCTCCATAAAAGAGCAGGCTAATCATTTTGAGCTGCGTATTTATTTTGTATTAAGTCTTTTTTTCTCTCTCTGTCTCTTTCCTTACAGCGTTCTCTCGGAGTTTCCAGGAAACTGGAGTGCCCATTACATCAGATACTCCTTTACTATACAGCCGCATTCAGGCATGAGAATATCCTTTCAGACAGTACATATGTAATTATTTTCAAACGTCCATTTACAATGAATCCATCTCTGTGAAGAATATATCCTCTGGCTTCCCCTGTAGTGAGGATGATTTTGAAGTATACCCTTAAAAATTGTGATTTCATGGTCAGTTTTTTTCTCTCAAAACGTAGTTGTATTTATGCTTGTTATTCATATTTTTGTCCTTTGCTTTTTTGTTATGGATGTGTGAAGGATCTGAATGTTGCAGGTGACACAACTTTGCTTGAGTTTTGTGAAAAACTGTATGACCTCTTTCTAACCAACATATGAATATATACTGAACACTAAAAAATTCTGTGATCAATTAGTTCTGTCAGCAGATGTTGTTAGTTCATTGTAACTTATTAAACTAAGTTTATCAGGTTTTAACTTAATTTTATATGTTTAGTTTAGCTTAACAATATAAGTTCAATGAACTTATTAGGTTAATTTGATTCCGCTTAAAAATTTGACACAACCAGGATTTTTTTACTGTGTAGGTCTATTATTGCCGTCATAGGCCTGATTCTTTCATAATGATTTGATTCTACACTTTTCTGCCTTTTTAAAGAGTTCGATCACACAAAATTGAAAATTCTGTCATTTACGCTTGTGTCATTTCAGAGAGGTATGGATTATATCATATAATGAAGAATACATTTTTGAAGAACTTAATGAGTTAATGGAGGCTTCAGTTGTGCAGTGGTGTTGTTATTTCCTGACCACACATGTAAGAAAACAATGTTAGCCTAAAGAAGATGTAATATAGGGAACAAGTCATATGGACAGCTGTTGTACAGATTATTGTTCAAGAATTCATTGTTTTTTTTTCACTGAAGAAAGGAAGGATTGTGTTCAACATCAGCTATGTTTCCATGGTGCCATTTATTTTTATGCGCCTTTTGGAATATTGTGTTAAAATGCTGAATTTCAGTAGCAATATGCATTAAATGCATTAAAAAAACATGCGGACAACTGAGTAAGAAAAACCTTACTCGATAAGAAAAAACTGAGCGATATACAGTGGAAATGTATGTACCAAATACATTCCAGCCTGCGCATCAAAGTAATTTTGTTCCACAAGAAACAGGATTATTGGACATAACAGCTGATGAACCACTTTGTAAAACATCTGAAATGTTGTTTTGGTCATATCCGCAGATCCATAAAGTCTGTCATCTAAGTGGTCCAGTATTATTTCTTGAATATCTAAAAGCCAATTATCATTGCTTTTATCTTTTGATGCACAAGTAATTTATTATATATTCAAATGTATATTAAATATTATTATATTCCTACTGCAGCAAATTACATTTTCCCTTTTGATATGTGCCACCAGATTATTTGGAAGTTTCCATTTCGTTTGATTCAAATGGCTATTTATTTACAAACCTTTTATATTCCAGTGATATTCCATTTTTGCACATAAGACTAATTCGCATCTTTGGATTGAAACATGGCTAATGTTTATACACTACCGGTTAAATAGTTTTTTTTTTTTTTTTATGTTTTGTGTGTGTGTGTTTTTTTTTTTTAAGTTATTCTGTTTAACAAGGCAGCATTTATTAAATGTGAAAAAAAAATGTTAAATTGTTAAATATTTATTAAAATGATAAATAGCTGCTTTTTTATTGTATGTACTTTCAAGTGAAATTATTAGTCCATTCATTATTAATTTTATTGTTTTGCCATTAATAATAATAACAATAATAATTTATATTAGAGTGATTTCTGAAGGATCACGTGACTCTGAAGACGAAGCTGAAAATTCATCTTTGAAATCACTGAAATAAATTATTAAATTATAAAGTACTTTTGAACAGTTATTTTATAGTGCAATAACATTTCACAAATACACAATTTGTACTGTATTTAAAATACATGTTTAAAGCATATTTAAAGCGGGATAAGCTTATTTTAAAGCTTTTAAAAATCCTGCAGTGCAAAAAACGCTTTTCTTACTTAGATTTTTTTTGTCTTGTTTCTAGTCCAAGTATCTAAAAGTTCTTAAATCAAGCAGAATTTTCTAGACAAGCAAAGCATACTGTCTCGATTTAAGATATAATGTGCCAAAGTTAAGTGAGTTTTTTCTTAAAACAAGTTAAATAATCTGCCGATGGGGTAAGCAAAATAATCTTAAATCAAAAGGAGAAATAAGATTATTTTGCTTACCCTATTGACAGATTATTTTGCTTGTTTTAAGGAAAAACTCAATCAATGTTGGCATATTAATTCTGAAAACAAGACAATATGGTTTTCTTGTCTAGAAAATGTTTCTTGATATAAGAATTTTTAGATATTTGGACTAGAAACAAGACAAAAAAAATCTCAGTAAGAAAAGCATTTTTTGCAGTGTAACCCCAAACGTTTGACCGGTAGTGTATATGTATTTATTTATTTTTTTTCAGTGTACATTTCTTTTCTGCCTAGTTGGTGAATGTATTGGCATATAGTTGGTGCTTCAAAGTTTGCCTGTGTGAAGTTTGTTGGAGCAAACAAAAAGCTTTGAGCCGCAGTGAATGTTGAAGAGTTATGAATGGGCCCGTCTATCTGCTTATTTAAATGTACATAGAAAAAATATCTGCACTTCAATTTCATACGCAAAATCTAGGATAGCTTTTAATGAATTGCATGTTTGATTTATGAATTATGTGTATATTTTAATGTTGCAAAAGTAATTTGTTAGCAGGGGGATATGTGTCCCTTAGGATTGCTTTAATGACAATAAAAAAACTTGAATAGATTTCATAATAAATATGCTTCATGTTACAGAGCATGTTTGTTTCAGTCTGTATTTCGCATTTGCATGTGTCTCGATGGAAGAGATTTGACATCATCCTGTATATGTAAATTCATAACCAGCTTAATGGATAAACCAGAACCAAAATTTGCAGTTAATTTATTCACCCTCACGCCATCAAAGATCTGTCCTCTAGTCTTGTAGAAGATTAAAAGATTTTTTAGCTGAAACTTTGATCCTTGGTCATTTATACAATCAAAGTCAACTTTTTGAGAGATGGAGCAAAAAAATATATATATATATATACACTATACCTGACAAAAGTCTTGTTGCCTTTTCAAGTTTTAGGAACAACAGATAATAAATTGACTTCTAATAAGAAGTGGCTATATGAAAAGCAAAGGTCTCTAAATTACGCTTATTTTACCAAAATAAATTGTTTCCACCTTGATTTTAATTATTTTATTAGGACAGTAAGGTCTGACTTTGCTGAGACAAAAGTCTTGTCACTTAAATAATGCAGAGTATAGAATATAAAGTCATGGTGCAGAGGGACAAGAAGTAATATTGTGTATGACCCCAATGAGTTTGGACGACATACATCAGCATTCATACATTTCTGCAATGGCTCAAATAACTTAAAGGGCCATGAAACCCCCTCGTTTCAGCAGGGTGTTTTCACACCTCTACTTTGGAAAAAGTCAGAAAAGTGGGCGTATCCAGCTCTGTTTAGGGGGGAGTGTCGGAGGAAGAAAAGTGGGATGGTGTGGAAGTGTCTATTTGGGCACGCGCGAGTTTCAGAGTCAAAATACACACACACACACACATACAGGAGAAAGTGATGGTGTTTAACCTACATGGACATCTGTAGTCTAATTATTTGCCAAATTATTAAATGGTGGACTTTAACTGCAGTTTGGCTCTTTCATTCAGGGAATTCATTTATGCCCCTCGCGACACACGAGATATTTGGTTCGAGGAGCTGCTCTAAGCGTGTATTTTTCATGCAATGTTTGATACCGCACGGCGAATGAGAGAAAAAAACCTCCGCATTTCCCAGAAACTTAGATGCACACGACAGGTAGTGTCAGAAAGCTGCGCGTGTTATTCCGGTCACTAAATGCGGTAAAAACCCTACACGAGGTTAAAGTTTGGTTGTGGTGCTAACGTGGTTACAATCTGTGCAATAGTTTGTTAGATACGAACAAACTGAATAAACAAAGAGCACTGGTCGCTTACTTACCAAATCTGTAGAGACAGGACAATCACCAGCAACTAGAGCCGCGTCTTTATGAAGAGAATACTACAAACGAATCCAGATCTCAGCGTTTGCAGATGAGAACAGTTCTCAGGTAAACAATAATCCTCCTTAGACACGTAAGTTATTGTTGTCACGCGTCGCGTACACTGTTAATCCACACGTGACTCTGAGCTCTCACAGAGAGAAAATGAAAACGAAACTTGACTGCAGCAAACAATAAAAGCAACACTTCACGCTTGTTTTGCCAACACAACGTGGCGTCTCTGTCCTGAAAACGCGGTGATAGTAATGAATATTAATGAAGTTGCACAATAGAGCGCGCTGATTGGTTTGAACCAAGCCTTACTAATGCATTAATGCATCACACTGTAAGACGTAATAAGACACACTCTGGCACAGACGCCCAGTCTGCACGCTGGAATACAACGCTATTATGTCATGACCGTGACGCAGCTTCAAAAATTCTTTTCAAACCGGAAGTACGAATTTGCTTGAAATAACGCAAAAACAACCAATTTACACTTTTTAGTGAAATATATGTGTCTTAATAGTGTTTTTAGCAGTGTGGGACACATATACGACTGTCAACAGCTCAAAAAATGTGTTTTGGTGTTTCGTGACCCTTTAAAAACATCCTCTGAAATGGCAAAGAAAGCATTCTTGCAAGTCTCCCAGAGTTCATCAAGATTCTTTGGATTCATCTTCAATGCCTCCTCCTCCATCTTACGCTAGACATGCTTAATAATGTCCTCCATCTTACGCTAGACATGCTTAATAATGTTCAATCTAGTGACTGGGCTGGCCAATCCTGAAGCACCTTGACCTTCTTAGTTTTCAGGAAATGTGATGTGTAGGCATGAGAAGGAATGCTATCCTTCTGAAGAATTTATCCTCTTCTGTAGTTTGTAATGTCATGGCCAGCACAAATGTCTTGATACCTTGGGCTGTTGATGTTTTCATCCACTGCAGATCTCTCACATGCCCCCATACTGAATGTAACCCCAAACCATGTTTTTTCCTTCATCAAACTTGACTGATTTCTGTGAGAATCTTGGGTCATATGGGTTTCAACAGGTCTTCTGCAATATTTGTGATGGTTGGGATGGAGTTCAGCAGATGATTCATCAGAAAACTTTACCTTCTGCCACATTTCCAAATGATGTTGAGATCAAGTTATTATTTGTTGCTCTTACAGCCGTGATCGACGAAAAGACTTTTTTCAGGTAGTGTAGGGTTAAAGAAACTCTTTTATGGCCCGTTTTAGTAATGGTAATGATAAAGTAATGTAAATATGATTTGTGATTCGGTTGTTGGTCTGCACTTGTAAAACAAGTTAATTTAATATTCTAATATTTTGGTATGCATGTAAACATGGTTAGCAAATTCAGTTTGTAAATGCTTAAGTTTTTGCAACCTTTACATGCTCCCTCTAAGCCAAAAAATGAGAAAGAACCAAATCTCCTACCACAGCTATGCTGATGACACTCAGATCTACCTAGCCTTACTGCCTAATGACTACAGCCCCATTGACACCCTCTGCCAATGCATTGATGAAATGAGCAATTGGATGTGCCAAAACTTTCTTCAGTTAAACAAAGAGAAAACTGAAATGATTGTGTTTGGAAACAGAGATGAGGTTCTCAAGGTAAATGTGTACCTTGGCTCTAAAGGTCAAATGACAAAAAATAAGGTCAAGAATCTTGGTGTGACTCTGGAGTCAGATCTGAGTTTCATTAGTCATGTCAAAGCAGTCAGTAAATCAGCATACTATCATCTCAAAAACATAGCAAGAATCAGATGCTTTGTTTCTAGTAAAGATTT